ACTTAACTAAAACTCAAATATTGGAAATCGAAAAGGTTCAAAGATACTTTGCCAAAAGAATCCAAGGATTTCCAAATCGAACGTCAAGCTGTGCGTCTATCGCAACACTTGGGCTGATGACCTTGGAAAATTATTTAGAAAAAATGAAGTTTTTGTTTTTGGGGAGACTGATGGATGCACCCCATGAGTCTGTTCAAAAGCAACTTTTTGTGCGCAGGGTTAGTAGTTACACTATCAAAACAATATGTCATGAAGAATCCACAGGATTTATAGCTGATATCAAACATATAATTCAGAAGTATGAATATATTTCAGAGGGTTTCGACAATTTCATTGAAACAGGTGAAAAAATAAGCGATTGTGGAAATTGAGGGTAAATGGTTGTATTGACTATTCTGCTGAACAATCATATCTTCATCAAATACAGTCAGATAAAAAGATTAGGCGCTTTTCCAATATTCATCCTCATTTAAATCCTTGCATTCACTACACATTAAGTAAGAAATACCCAGAAAATCTGTGGTCAATGGCACACTTGTTTCAACTTTCCTTGATTGAGGAACATGAAACAAACGTAATATGTAAAGCATGTAATTGTGAATATATAGATGTCACTAAACATATTTTGCTAGATTGTTCATATGTTAGCAATGTGAGAGACGACTTGTTCAGTGAAATTACAAATGTACTTGATGTAACAACATCAACTTCACTCCTTAATGGCGATGAAGAAGTTTTGATTGAAACGCTGTGGTGGTAATTCTGATATTCAATTTATTAATGATGAAATCTATGAGCAGTTTATTATGATGTCATGTAAATACGTTAACAGAATGATTAAATGGTTATATTCAATAGAACTTTAACTAAATGAGAAGTGAGAGAGAGAGATACTATATATTAAATACTGAATATAACGATTTAATGTAAATAATTGTACATTATACATGTTTTTCCTTTTTTAGCTAAATAGCTCAATATTGTACTCTTCATATATGAAGGAATAAAAGTTATACAATACACAACTTCCCCTACGACGTCCAGACGTGTACACTTAAGTTTGGATCGTGGGGTTTTGGAAGTACAGAAATAGATCTACAGAATAAGTCAGACTCTGCTGATCTGTCTGCATATGAACCAAGCGGAGAATGGGAATTACTGTCCACTGACGCTATACGGCATTCTATAATGTACAACTGTTGCACGGAACCTTACATTGACGTTACATACTACATCAACATTAAACGGAAACCTCTCTATTACACATTCAACGTGATCTTGCCCTGTATGTTCATAGTGATCATCTCGCCATTTTCGTTCCTCGTGCCCCCAGGATGTGGCGAGAGGATACAATTAAGCACAACGTTGTTTTTGTCTCTTACTGTGTATATGCTGTTTGTTGCCGAACAACTTCCAGTTCAGTCTGAGGATGTACCTTTAGTAGGTGAGCAAAATATTAGAATGCACAAGTAGTTTCATGGGGAGTTAAATGTTAGAATGCACAAGTAACTGGAGTTTAATCTTAGAATGTACAAGTAGCTTTAGCTACATTGAGTTATATCTTAGAACGTCAAAGTAGTGTAAAATTGTATACAAGTGTAAAAGGGTAGGAGGTCCTGTCAAATTATGGTCCTACTCTCCATTGATTTATATGGTGACCTAAATACAACTAATTCCCTCATTATCTTATACGCAATCAGGGCCAGTAAGGGCCGTTAAGAAAGGGGACCATAATCCCTGGGGGACCATCATTTCTTTCACACCGGCATAGACGTAGTTTAAAGTACAATTCTTAATGGTAAAAAAGCCCTTGGATGAGTTTTCTTGATCCTAGGTAAGCCCGAAAAAGATCATGAGTACGATCTGAGAAATTACAAGTAATACAATTACTAGATAATCATATAACGAGTAAGTAGGTAGAAGAAGTTACAGTATATCATGATTTAGTCTCAATGATATTTGTATTCATTCTTGATAAACTCCTACCTTAACTTTTGTAA